CCCGACGGCTTGAAAACCAGGACCTACAGGCCCTGTGTCTGTTTCAGCCTGACAGCCTGAAAACCAGGGCCTACAGGCCCCGTGTCATTTGAGCCTGACAGCCTGAAAAAAAAGGGCCTATAGCCCCTCAAGCTTTAGCCAGAAGCTACCTGGAAACTTCCCGGAAGCTTCCTCAGGCTTTAGCCAGAAGCTACGTGGGAACCTTCCGGAAGTTTTCTCAGGGTCTAGCACGTTTGGGCATTGGCAAGAGCAGCCTCCTGGACGGGCCAGCACTATATAAGACTGGCCCGCCCTACAGACAGGAGGTAGTTTTCAGTAGGCACGAGTAGTCTTCAGGAATTCGGCCGCAGCACTCAGGAGGAGCGCTGCAGTAGTCTTCAGCGCTAGGTGGTATTAGCGCTAGCTGTAGTCTTCGGCGCTGGGCGCCATAGCTGTAGCTGTAGTCTTCAGCGCTGGGCGCTGGTAGGTGGTAGATCGTAGAGTGGGAGAGAGACTGGCAGAGGCCAGTGATACTTACCTGTGGCGCCATCGCTCCAGCTCCATCTTCGTGGTACCTGCATCAAGGCGCCAACTTCACAGGTAAGTACTGGACACAGAGAGAGAGAGAGAGAGTTCTTCTTCTTCCTCTTCTAAGTCCACCTTCTCTTCTCACCCTCTCGCCACCTGACTTCTCTGACTACGACAGAGAGAGAAAGAGTTGTGATTTGAGACTTGACGACATTGGATCCAAACTGGACATTGGTATTCAGACATTTCGACGAGGGACTATTTGGGCCTGTACCGAAACTTGGTGTTGACGACATTCCCATCTTCCCCTCCTCTTTCGTCTTTCCCCTTCCTCTTCGTCTGTGTATGGTATGGGCTGGCAAGCGCCAGGCCCATTTCACACCATGTAACGATGATGATGATGTATGTTCAGGGCTGCATTTCAACATTGATTGTTCGGATCACTGGTATCTAAGTCTTCCGCTGTGTTATCTTGTACTTTGTATTGAGAGGTCGGTTCTTGTTCTAGTCTGCACGTTACAGTATGCAACACAGAGAGAGAGAAGAGGACAACAAACGAGGGGCTGTGACAAACTGTTTCGTCGGAGTGTCACGGACTCATCAGGAGGCTGAACCCTCAACAGTCTGCAGAATCCCCTCACTGATTACACTGTAAATGATAATCTACCTTAACCAAAATCAAAGTAGACTATCACTCACCCACACCAGATGGAAAACACTACAGACTGTCGGTTCACACCCCATCACAAGCCAGCAAAACATCCACGAAACAAAGAAAGGTCTGTCACAGCCAAACAATACACTCCAGACACGCCGCTGGCACTAGAGGCACAGCATGGCCGCCCAGTAACGGCCCCGACCACTGCCGCTCGACCTGACCGGAAAAAATATATATATATATTTCTTAATCTCAAAATTTCATTGTTTATTTATTTTTATTTCCCTCTCCCCTCCATGTTTGCTATTTTCTTTTCTTGATTAGGTCGCTGCTACCCTACCCTAACCACCCAAACTCCAGTTAGGGTTTTCTTAGGGTTTTTCTAGCGTTTAGGGTTCTCCTAACCCCCCTCCTCTCCCACCTCCTCCCGACGGGCACCCTGGACCCGAACGGCTCGTCTCCCTTCGACTGGATTGAACTATCAAAAAGGATAGGATCTAGCTCCTGAATCTGGATGTGTTTTAAGCAGAGATGCAGAGCAGTTCAATCTCGATTTCCTGCACATCTCCGTAAACTCGTCCAGATTCAGGCATTCGATCTGATCCTCTTTGCTAGTGGGACCACCCCTCTGGGAAATGATTTGTAAGCGAGGTCAGCTCAGGGTTAGGCAAAAGAAATGAAAAAAGAATTCGCAGCCAGGAGGCTGCGCTTGTGTGGGTTCCATTTTCGTCATTTCATTTCTTTCTATTTTCGGTAAGGTCGTGTCGGAGTTGTACCTAAGACCGGTTCGTTTGGGGTCTCCGACAGTCGCAGTCGCCCCTAAGACCGGATGTAGGGCAGGTTATCTTGTCAAGGTAGTTGCAATTTAGTATAGGGCGCCGTCCATAGTTTCCCTTTTGAGGGATAAAGTGTTTTCCCGTTGCAAACTGGGGGCGGGTGATATGGGTCTGGGCGGGGGCTTTCGGTCTGGGGCTTTTCCACTTTTGTTTTTTTTCTCTTCTACTGCATCTTCGGGGATACAGCATTCTGCTGTTTACTACACCCAAGTAACGAAATCGAGAGCGGACTGCCAGTACAGTAGTAGGTTTAGTCCGTTCTAGAAAACAAAAACAAGAAAAAAAACAAGAAAATAAAAAAAACGTACTGGTAGAACTTGCTGACCAAACGTGCAACATGAGCATGAATCTTCTGGTAGAACACAGGTAGATATAATGCTAGTAGTTTAGACCTTGAAATGCCCTTTTTCCTGGCCGCGTGTGGGTTGGTACAGCCCTCAGCAGCTTGGTATTCGTTTTTAAGGGTTTTTTTTTTTTTTTTTTTTTTTCCCTCCTGCAATAGAAGAATCTGGGATATTAAAAAACGAAAAAAATCCAGCGGCCTAGCTCAGTTGGTTAGGCATGCAAGTGGCATTCAGGAGGTTGTGGGTTCAAGCCCCATGGCCGCCTGCGGCGCACTTAGTGCCAACGGACTGTGATAGTCCTCTGGATTCCCCTGATCGGTATTAGCGGGGTCTATGACCAACACCGGTGTGAGTGTGAGCGCCAGTGGGTTGTGTGTGGTGTGTGGGAGAGTGTTGGCCATAGCCTCTGCTGCTACTCGATGAAGGGTGGGGGACGATGAGAAAGGGAGGCACAGCTACTGGCAGGTCTCGGTCTTTGTGTTAGCCAGACCCCCACTGGTGGCCCCAACCCTATACCCTGACCATTAGGGGCAAGCGGCAACATGAAATCTGCCCTTCACAGAGAGAGTAAAACTATGCTTGCAGGGGTCCCCTCTAGATAGTCTTAGGAGTAGGTAATGGAAGGTAAACAAACAGAAGTTGAGAGAAGAATATAGACAGTTGAAAAGACAAAAAAAAAACGGAAAAAAAAAAAAGTGGAAAAAAAAACAGGGCTCCATCCAGCGTCCTAGCTCAATTGGTTAGACACGCAAGTGGCATTCAGGAGGCTGCGGGTTCAATCCCCACGGCCGCCCGTGGCACTCTTGGTGCCAACCAACTGAGATAGTGAGCTGGATCCTCCCAGTCGGTATCATTAAGATCTTCAGCCAACACGGGTGTGAGTGCGCGTGTGAGCGGGTTGCGTGTGGTGTGTGGGAGAGTGTTGGCTTTGGACACTACCATCGAGAAGGCTGCCCATCCCCCACTTCATAAGACCTTTGACAAGCTTACTGTCTACAACATAAAGCATGCTACCGGAATGGCTGCGTCCCCGCGTTCGACGTAGTATAACAGTACTATATCAACGGATGTCCTGGAGGACATGGCGAACTGTCTCGTTAGGGGTACGTTAGTTACAATAGGACTTTCTTCTGGCTCTCGATGGACGTAGTTCAGGTCAGATGCATACAGGAGAAACCGCAGGTTCGACCAGATGCATCAAGCAAAGTCCTGGCGTAGCAGTGTAAGGATGCTCTAAGTTGCGTTTCGCTTAGTACCCCCTCTTACCTCCAGTGAGTTGGGTGTACCCGGTGTAGACTTCGTATCCGACAGAAAGAGA